GGACCGCCCCTGGGGTGTGGGGTGTGGTAGTCCTCGAAAGTGGAGCTCTTTGTGGAGCGCCGAAGCTGCCCCGTCGACACAAAGGATGCTGTCGTTCGAGGGGGACGACTAGGCAGTGCCGGGATTTCCCTGCCGAGCCAAAAGGGGGAGAGGAGCATTGTCGTGAATTTTCTGTAGGACTGAGGGAGGAGAAGTAGCTTTTATTGATATATCATCTGCTTTCTTTAGGCTACTGGCCCCCCTGGGAATGCCTTGAGCTCCTGCTCTCCTTGGAAAGTGCAGGCAGGCTACCTGCCCTTCCTTACCTATGGGGCAGTGAGGGACGCTCCTCCGCCATCCCAGGAGAGGAAGAGGTGTGGGGGATGCCAGTGGACGCCCATACACACACACCCTGGCCCTCCCCGGCAACCTAATCCCCTTGACCAAACTACATCTGCTCGTCTTGTCCTTTTTCCTATGCTGAGCCATGTTTAAAGGAAGCTCCGTGCTGGTCCGGCATTTCCTGGGCCAGGCTCCAGCACTCCCTCCTCCCTCCCTCCCGCCGCTACTCACGCGAGGAAAACTCGCAGGATTTGGCCCACGGCTGCCGAAGGGGTGGGACAGGCTATAGGGACTGCTCAAGGGGGAGCGAGACCCGCCGGTTCCCTCTTTCCCCCCCCAGAGCCGAACCGTTGTTCCCAGCTCTAGTGGCCACGGTGGGGGTTTCAGTGATTCTGCAAGGCAAGAAACGGGAATAAATGATCCCCGGGTTTTAAAAGGGACTGCTTGATGGTTTTATTGCACAGTAAAAACTTCTCGCTAACTAGCCGTACGTCTGTATGGGTATTTATATACGTATGTTTTCTATACGTCCGTCCAAACAGTGCCTTCCCTCCCTAAATTCTGGGCACGTGTCTGGACTGAGGTTCAGAATGGTTTGACAGGAGATGCTGTGGAGATGAAGAACAGCATCACGGCTCCTCATCCCTCTCCTGTTAAAAGCAGCGTGATATGTATCTGTCATCGATTTAATACGTCTTAACTCAAATATATCCCCCGATCAATTTCTTTTTATGAGAGGCTATAAAACAATGAAAATATTTTATAGGTGGCTAATAGGCAGCTGACCTGTGACTGTGGGGAGGGAGGGGTTGATCGAGACTCAGGTGGAAACTAGCCCATTTTTAGGACTGGCTGCAAACGCCAGAAAGCAAAGGTGACTGCCCGGGCCAGGACAATTTTGGACATTTCCATCTCCAAAAGTGCCATGAAGAATTTAAAGCCCATTGACTCACCGATACCAGCTCAGGCCCAGGCTGCTACAGCCCTCTGGACCTGCAACACAGGGAGGCGAACTGTGCTATCCCCACAGCCCCCCAAAAACCTCAGCAGCGCCCGTCGGGGGTCGGAACGCACCCTGTTCCCGCGGCGGAGCCGGCTGCGAAACTCTCCCACAGTGCCCCGCTCGCCGGCAAATCTGCTAAGGGACATGGGGGGGGCTGCAGAGGCGGGGTGAAGCCTGGAAGCCTTCAGATTTGTTTCGTAAAGCTTCCTCTATAAACCGAGCTCGGGCTATCGGCTTTAGAAGGTATTTAACTAAAACGTTGTGCTGTGAGCTGCGTTATGTAAATGTATGCTAATGATCATGAACACCATTTACAAACAATCGTCTTTAATGCACGTCTTATTGATAGTTAGGGAGCAGGGAGCAATATTTTATAACTTGTAAAGCATTCTTCTGGGGAAGCATTAGAAAGGGAGCGCGATTGCCGTTTTCCTTGGCAAGACCTCCAAATCTCCCCCAAATCTGCCGAAAAAGCCTACCCTCCTCCCGACCCGTCGCGAGTGGCTTGCTTTGCTCCTGGGGCTGCCTTGCGGCATGGGGGAGCCCGTGGCGCGGTGCCCTCCGCGAACATGCTTGATTGGAGATGGATTCCGCCCGTACCAGGAGGGAGCGCCCCGAGTCATAGCCCCGTGGGGACCGACACGGGCAGGGAGTAACCACGGTATCCTCCTCACCATCCCATCGGAGGAATAACATGGAGGCACTGGGAGCTCGGGCGGGAGCGGGTGGCTGCCCAGGGGCACGAAAGGGAAAGAGAGAGCCATGTGGCAGTGAGACTCCACATCCCTCCTTTATTGAGGGGCTCAGCGGATGGATATTTTATACCCTTAAAAATTAAACTTCTCCTGAGTCAAATGTCGTCGCTCTGTGCACCCAAGTGGGAACCCGAGGGCTGGCACCCAGACACGAGTGGGGGCCGGCACCGTGCCCGACGTCGGGTTGCCGGGGCCGAGACCCGCCACATCTTTGGGACAGGGATTTACGAGTAAAAGTTTCGGAGCTGCTGTTTTCAGTGAGCGCCTCGCCAGGGAAAGAGGGATCCCTTCGGGGTTTGCTCAAATAGGGACAAAATAAGGAAAAAAAATTCCATCCTTCAGTCTCTCTCTCTCTCTCTTTCTGTCTGTCTATCTATCTGTCTATCTATCTATTTATCTTTCTATTTATCTATACCTACAGAGAAATAAAGAGATAAAGAGAGAGGCGGTCTCAGGAAACCCAGGCCAAATTTTGCTCTGATCTCTCTCTCCCCCTTCCCCTCTCTCTGTAGCTGAACGTCACCGTTGGAAGAAGCTGTTGAGATAAATCAAATAGTGACACTTTGACGGCTTTACTTGTATAAGCAATATGGTTACCATATGGCATTGTTATTTATGAATGACGGCATAAATTGTATTACAAAGTCCATCGCCCTTTATTGGGACGCTTCTTCCATGCCTCTAACGTTTATGTGGGCATCTCCAGATGGAAGAAGGTGCATATAATAAAGCCCGGCAGTGCGGCCGCAGACCCCATTTTGGGGGCGTTGCGCCGGGTCTACGCTGGCTGCAGAATGAGGCGCGCAGCAGGGAAGGGCGCGGGGTGCGCGAAGTACGCGGCTCTGCGCGTCCCTCGGCCGCAGCTGGGCAGGGCAGAGGCACCGGCTGCCACTCGGCCAAGGTTCCCGTCCTGGAAAAAAACGCTACACTGCTCCTCGCCCCCGCCGCCTCACGCCATTACTGCCGAGAGAGGGGTTTTATACAGCAACTTCTTTTATACATACATATATATAAGTGCAACTGAAGAAACAATAAATATTAATGGCACGAAAACAGCGTGCTCCTTCCTCCTGCCCCTGCTCTGCCTAGCGTGGGTTTGTTTTGATTTTTTTGTTGTTGTTTTGCTTTGGCTTGTGGTTTTTTTTTTAAGAATTATTTGAAGGTTACAGCTTTGGCTGAGATTTTCATTATTTCCCCTTTTTCTTTTACATTACACTGCCGGTAGAGCCTGACAAAGAACTTTTGTCCCGAAACGTGTGTTTTACAGAGGGAGGCTACAGCACAACACATGTGGTCTTCACGGGTCATAGGTCGAACGGCCTAGAAGTGGCTCGAATCGGCACCATCAAAGGTAACCTGCAACTTAATATCCTGTTGATGAGCTTGTTGAATTTATGAGTGTCTGTGATACAGACAACGGTGCAAGTGATGCCGCTCAACTGGCCTCTTCTTCCCAGGCTACCGGCCAACCGCACGCCCCCTCCTCGGCCCGCACCTCATCCCTGTTACTCTGTGGGAAGGATGAATTTTGGGGGAAAGACCCTCTCTTCCCCCTTTCCCTATCCCTCCTTCCCCACGATGGGTCCTTCAACTTCTTTTTCTCCGTCGCCGGCCGCATCCTCCACAGCCTGCGCCCCCACCGCGGTACCTACGGTTACCGAGGAGGGGGCGATGGAAGGAGGGGGCGCGGATACTCCCCAGAGGGCGCTGACACCTCCCGGGAAAAGGGGCTAGCAGGCGAAGACGGTAGGTACAGTCCAGGGGAAGCAAGAAATTGCTTTCCCTCGCCCCGACCCCCCCACTAGCTCTCTCCACATCACCAGCCGGCAAGAAAAAGAGCAGAGCAGTTTTAAAGAGAATTTCGGAAAACTTACAAAGACATGAGCGGTTTCCCGGGGAAGCCGACGTTTGCTCTGCAGGTCTGGCACCTCCAGAAACCTGTTGAAAAACTTCTTTCAATAAACCGATTTAGCACCGACTTTGGGTGACCGCTTGCTTTCCTCCCTCGAAAGCTGCTGTAAGCCGCAGGCTGCGTTTGTGGCGGTGGCCCGACGAGAGATTGCGGGGCTGGCTGCCGGTGCCTCTGCTCCCCCTCCTTCCTCCCTCGCTCCCTTCCCTTGTTACCCTGTGACACGGGGGAAAGAGGTTTTGCGGTTCAGAGGGAAATAAAGCACTTCTTAGGAGGGACGGCGACGTGACTTTGAACTTGGATCAGCTCCTCTGTTTCCTGCAGAGAGAGTAGGGCTGGAGCCCTGAAAGAATAGCAGAGCGCGGCCAGCCTACGGGGGCTCCGGATGGAATTCACCGCGTCCCCCTGAAAGCGCCCCGGTGTCGGCGCCGCTGAGCGGGCAGAGCGAGGGGTGAGGGGAGGGGGCGCAAGAAAAGAAGGGAAGGAAAGAAAAAGGAGAGAAAGGAATAAAGAAAGAGAATAAAGAAATAAAAGAGAAAGGAAAAGAAAGGGAGGGAAAGGAGAGGAAGGAAGGGAGGAAGGAAAAGAGAAGATGAGGGAAAATAAAGGAGGAAAGAGAGAGAGAAAAAGAGAAGTAGAGAAAGAAAAAGAAAAAAAGGAAAGAAAGAGAAAGAAAGAAAGAAAGAAAGAAAGAAAGAAAGAGAGAGAAAGAAAGAAAGAAAGAAAGAAAGAAAGAAAGAAAGAAAGAAAGAAAG